ATTTAGTCTAGGACTGATTTTTCCCCACAATGGAGGCACAGCCCTTCTAAATCTAGTACCTGATTTCCCACGAATTAGAAAATTTCCACTGTTGCTGGTTGGAACAACACTGTGCCTGTCTCTGTGTGAGCCCCAGGACGGTTCTCTTCAGTCCCTTCAGGTATTTCCTTTCCTGGCCGCATCTAGCTTCCTCGCAGGAGTTTATCCTCCGTTTTCAGCTGAATATTCAAAGAGGTTATCTTCAGATCTGCAGAATTCTTTCTCTGTGTAGTTCTCTCCTCTCCAATGTGCTTTCCTGTGAATTCCAAATGCCTTGGGCTCCATGGACACCCAGGTCCATCCTCCTCAATTTGGGGACAATTCTTGCCTCTGCCTTAATACCCCTCCCTGCTCCATAGGCCAGAAACTTTCTTCCAGCAGTAAGCTGTAGTTCCTTTGTTTCTTGTCCCTTTGGGATCACTTTCCTTTGTTGCCTGATGTTCCATGTATGTGGAGCCATTGTTTCATCTATTTTATCCTGTTTATAGTTATCTGAGATGGGCAAGTAAATCCAGTCTGAAGTGAAAGTTCTGTCTGCCTGGGTTCTTTTAACAGTAGGAGAGCAAATATATTAGAGCTCCTTTGAAAATAAAATCATTACCCAAATGTATGATAATTTTTATAGTTCTTCTCTTAGTAGGCCAAGAGTATATCAGTTACTTACTACGTGTATTTATATTTCCCAGGGATATGTACATAGATTTGCCGGACACTGAGTACACGAATCAGTACTTTATACGACAGAGCACTAGTTCCATTAGAAACAAACATGCAGCATTCCCACAGTTACTGTGCCCTTAGCATCTTGGGTGGGATCCCACGAAGCAGGTTAAATTTGGCATCCTCATCGACACCTTAACTGTTTCCAGATTTCTTCTCTTACTACATAGCAGCTCACACTCCCAAGATTTGGGAGCCCCTGGGGTGGCTATTTTTGGTTTATATCCCCAATTCTGCCTTCACCTTTCCATGCCCCTTCCAGGGAGCCTTGCTTATACCAGGCCTCTTTTTTTCATTAACTTTCATTAATAATAAAGAGGACAGGAGAAGACTAACCAGGGTGCCAATAATCTATAATAATATCTGTGATTTATTGAGCCTCTACCATGTGCCAGATATTCTATATATTTTCTCCAATTCTAATAAAACAACCAACTATGAGAGAGGCCCCGGGACTCAGATGAGGCTTTGCAGAAGGAGAGCTTTCTCCGTTCAGCCATGAAGGACACGGGGGAGTTAGGTGAGGCCAGGCACGGGGCGGGCAGGAGTTCCAGGTGGTGGGAAGAGCATGTGAAAATGTGCAGGAACAGAATGTGCAACTAATTTGAGACTTCAGTCTCTGTCGCGTAAATTTTATTTATTATTATTTTAAACACAAAGGAAAAAACAAAACATTTTGAACTCCTTTTTTTTGTTTTAGTCAGGAACATATATGCCAAGTGTCGTGGGTTTCCATAAAAAACTTGCCTTTGCTTTGTTGATGGGCAGTACTTTTATTTGTCCCTTAATGAGCACTTAGGTAAAATTTGGGGCACTCATGCCCCAGATAAAATTTCATTTCCATATCGAACTTAGCTGATGTTAAGGTTTCTTTCTCTTTCTGTGTATTTCCTTTGTAATATTAATAAGTGTTAATAAAGGATGTATTTAAAAGGGTAACTTTATTTTGAAATAGGAGAAAAGAAAGCTGGCGCTGCAATAATGTCAGAGTTTCCAGAGGGAAGGCATTGTGAAATTGTTTAAACACATTTTATTTGGGGTTCAGTATGAATTTTCAATAGATGTTTTTCAGATAAGAGAGCAGTAATTCAAACGCAATCGTATAAACAAGAAGATCAGAGCGGAATTATCCCGAAGGGTATAAAATGAACTGAGGCTTTAGTCGGAGTCACTGCAGCCTCAGCTCCCCAATGCGAAGTCAGGTAGGTCTGTACGTGGAAGGCTCTGCCAGATGAAGTGTTCTTTTTTCTTTTTCCACTTTCACCATTTTAGCATTTATTGAAAATTGGCAAGTGCTGAGTGGTAATTTGCTTGGGTCAGCTCCAGAGAATTTTAATTATCGCTCCAAAATAGTTCAATGTTGGGTGAAGTTGCGTGAACTACATATGTAAAGATAAGAAAAATTTCATTGACTTGAAGATGAACAACAGGTCAATTCCCTGATTGATGCTCATGGCTTTCTTTCCCTATTTACATTTTGATTGAAAGATTTTTGTCAACTGAATAATCTACTTACTGAATTCTATTAATTACTAATGGTTATCTTTGATGATAATATATTTCTGGGGAAACTTAGAGTAAATTCAATTTTGAGTACCTGCAGGGGTAATTTACTGTCTTATTTTCGTTATTTAGTAGCTAAACCACCTTGGATAGTGTCTGGTATATACATCTGTCTTATAGTACATTCTACTCTCTGGGAAAATGTGTTGCTTTAGTAAGTTCCTGGATTGCTTATAGGGCGGGCAGTTGATTCTCTTCGTAGTGTGGCACGGGCGTTGAACAGAAAAGACTGGTGAAGGAAATGAACAGAGCAGAGAAAAAAAGTATTTATTGAAAATGAAGGTAGTGAGAGCAAAGAAAAAAAGGGAAAGAAAAAATGGAGTAAGGGGCAAAAAAAAGAAGATATTTTAGAATAAGGAAAAACATTGGCAGTGTAGACATACGTGGTTACCCCACTGAAAAAAGCATTTCTGGTTATTTTAGGGCCTAAAATCATGCCCTCTATATTTAGCTGCTCAATAAATAATTTATGATGATTTTAAAAGAGGAAATCAATTTGCAAAGATGAGGATCCAGGTGATAAAAGAGAAATTGTGGCAGATTATATAGGGAGGCATTAACTAACACTGATTTTATATAGTGATACATACATGTTTGTGTATGTATTTATATAGTCTTTTTTACGTAGCACTCCAAGTTCATCACATGTGTTGCTTTATTCTTTTTTATGAGTTTAGAATGGAGCATATGGAAAAATGAAGGCACCAAGATATTAAATTACTCTGTTACACACAATTGCAGTGAAATGTGGAAGGAGAATTCTAGGTCATTAACTCCTAGACCGGGAGTCTGACACCGATTTATCGCGCAGAACCACAGACTGCTGGTGCTGAAGGGAGCCTCCCGATCATCTTCTAGTTCGAAGCTTCCCTCTTCTCCATAAAAAAATTGAGGCTTAGAAAGACTGTGTGGGTCAAGCTTTACTATTTGCAATGAAGAAGAAAGAATACTTTTTACTTTCCTTACATTCACAAAGTTACACAGCTATTTTGCTGATAACGCAGAACTTTTAATTTTTCCTTTTGTGAAGGTAGAGTTTTACATTTATAGGAGGAACTCTGAGGGAAGTATAGTGTCCATGCTGAATATGACAATGGGTAAAAGTTCTAAAGTAGATTTTTCCTAGGATTTAAAAAAGGATCGAGTGGACTTGTCTCTTTCTGGTCTGCAGATGGGGAGATGTGGCCTCAACAGATGAAATGTTTTAGTCAATTTCTCATAGGTCCGTGGGAGATTTTTTTAAAGTACATTTTATTGATTATGCATGGGAAATCTTAAAATGTGATTACCTTCCTTAATCCAGGACCAATATTCTTGAGAAGGAAAAAAATCCAAATATACCTAGCTAACTGTACAACATTTGTAAAGTTAAAAAAAAGTCTTCTTATTCTTTGAAGTGATCACTTTACATTCCAAAGTCTGGAGTACACACTCTCAGTAGCAGAACTGAAGTAGTTATGTCAACATCACCAGCTTGTTATGATGCCCAGTTGGTGCTGAGCCAACTCTTCCATCAGACCGACTCTCGTGAGATACACGTTCTCCTCCTGCCTGCAGCACGTGGGCCCTCTGGTGTCCTCCATGCAGCCAGACACGCCTCGCCTACCTGGCTCGCCGGCAGTGGGTCTGCCATCCTGGAGTGTGTCACTCTCACTGGGTCAGCCTGTACTTTTTGCATCAGTAACCTTTTTAAGATAATGAATTTCATGCATCCTCTGAGTAACAGTTTTTCATTTGTCCAACTCTACCGCTTCCAACCTTAGAAGAACAGCCTAGGGCTGGAGAAGGGGAGTATCTGGATGTCTCGGTTAGCTCCTTAACACCTGTGGTAATTTCAGTTTATCTTTTCTCTACATTCTGGAACTTTATCTTGTCTTTCTTGAAAGGCAATGAGTAAAATTAAATGCAAGATTATTTGCCTTGAGAATGGTACTAATGTCTGATTATGCACTTTCTTGGTTTCTTGGCTCTTTCTGATCACAAACTGGTTGCTGGTCTTTCAACCAAAGTTTTTCGAAACTACAGTTCTGGGGAAGCTGTTACTGAAACTTCATGTTTAGTTCACTTTTTGTAACCACAGAGGGAGGTACTTGGATCGCGTCCATTGAATGCATGGCTTCACACGGGCATTTGTGTCCCTGCCGCTTCCCGGCCGTGGTGGCTCAGGCTTGCCGTTCCGCTGCCGGGGAGCCAGGCAGCGCTGCAGACAGGACCTTCACCGCATGGCCTCACACCCGTGGGCTCTGTGGGTCATAGCCGCATCTAAGTGTATGAAGAAGTTACTGAGAGTATGAGCTATGTAAAAGCACCTAATATAGGGCCCAGGACAAAATAGGCACTGTATTAAAATACATGCATATATTTTAAAAATTAATTTTCATTCATTCATTCATTCATTTATAGAGAGAGGAAAAAGGAAGGAGAAAGAGAGGCAAGGAAACATCAATGTGTGGTTGCCTCTCACGTGCCCCCGCACTGGGGACCTGGCCAGCAACCCAAGCATGTGCCCTGACTGGGAATTGAACTGGCGGCACTTTGGTTCGCAGCCTGCACTCAATCCTCTCAGCTACACCAGCCAGGACATAAAATACATATATTTTTAGTTCTTCCCAAATGTCCCTTCTGAATGTGCTAAAGGATATATCTAATGGATTCTTTAATTTTATCTTTGATTTAGCATGACTGCCATCTTCCTGATGTCCATGATTTTTGGCCTTGCATGTGGGCAAGCGACCTCTTTTTGTATTCTGACTGAGTATATGATACATGTTGAAAGGAAGGAGTGTGATTATTGCCTAGCCATCAACACCACCATCTGTGCTGGATATTGTATGACACGGGTATGTCGTCCATCTCACTTTTTTCAGCTGTAAATTAGATAAGACTAGGCTTAGTCCTTTTCTATCCAGAAAGGAGATCAGATAAATCACATCCCCGCTTTCCAAATCTAATGGTGATTGGCTCCTTAGTGGGGAATGCACAGGTTACAATATTATGTGCATCCATTCAGCACAATGGGCACAGGTAATTTAGTAACAGTTTACTTCCACACTTTGTTATCTTATTCCCGTGATCAAAGATAAAGGGGGGTATGTGCCACCTTTGTCTCTCTGGGATTCAGTGAGGATGTGTTGAGTTGGTACGTGTTAAATGAGGCTAAGAAACCCTCTCCCAGTCCTATTTGTGACAATGGAATATAGGTGAATTAATTTTTATCTATTTTCATTATCTGTATGTACCCTAAAGTCCTATTACACTATGTTCCTTTTTCTGTTCTCTCCACAGGATATCAATGGCAAGCTGTTTCTTCCCAAACATGCTCTGTCCCAGGATGTTTGCACGTATAGAGACTTCACGTACAAGACCGCAGAAATACCAGGGTGCCCGCACCACGTCAGTCCTCATTTCTCCTACCCCGTGGCTGTCAGCTGTAAGTGCGGCAAGTGCGATACCGACTACAGTGACTGCACCCACGAGGCCGTCAGGACGAACTACTGCACCAAACCTCAGCAGTCCTATGTGGTGGGGTTTTCGGTCTGACTTCAATGGCGATGTAATTTGTAATTCAGTTACCTGTGTTTGCCTGGAATAAAACTAGTAATACATCAATATATTCCACAGCGCAGCATGTGCATTTCGAGTACTGTCTCGTCTGTGCCCGAACCCCCACGCATGCACACGTGAGAGACCTTAGGGTGCTGGAAGGAGGGATGACTGGAAGGGCCTTTGAGCTCCTGTGAAGGGTGGTTTTCACATGACAGGGTGGAGTACAGGTAAGACGGAGGACAGGGACGTGGAATACTAATGAGAGCCAGCCTCGAGCGAGCTCTTTACACGGGCCATGGATTTTGCCTTGACGTAAAAAATGAATGTGGGAATGCTGTAGAGTTATAAGGAAAGGCCAATGTGATCAGAACCCAGGGGGACCAGTTAGGTCTGAACACTAGACTCTTTATTCATTAATCAAATACCTGTATTTGATATACGGCTATCAGAGGGGATGTTATAATCCTGCAGCTTTAATGTCCAAGTTATCAGGTGACATGAGAGCCCAAAGCCCGAGATTAATATCTGGAGCCGCACTGATATCAGCTTCCAAAGGACTGGAGTGGAGCCGGAGAGGAAGGAATATGTGAAATCTGCAATATGGTGCTTTGCCCGCATCATCCAGACGCACGGGATAAAACCTCGCCAGCACGCATTAAACACCGTATTCTATTTGAAGAACTATTCTCTTTAATTTAAATACTCTGGTGGGCTGACTTATGAAAGTTACACCCTCAAAGCCTAGAAAAGAGGCCACGATCATTTTACATGTGAATGTCTAAATCCTTTGTAGTCTTTCAAGTAATAAGAGACAGTTTTCAGCATTTATACCAGAAGCAACCTGTGCTGTTTTGGCTGTTGATGCCATGAAAACCTAATACGATTATGAAAGATTTTAGGGACAGGGGAGAGTGCTAAGGGATTTAATAGAGCAGAAACATCGGCAATTCTAACCTTAACACTGATCACTATTCAAGCAGTTTTCTCGTAAATGTGCTTGGTAAGCGGCTGATGTTTTCCTTTTCCTTCCGTAGGTGCTTTTTCCTGGGGGTTTGGTTTCAGTTAGGTGCAGACCCAGTGCCCTGCAGACTTGACGTCAAAAAGGTGATTTACCTTGTGTTTGTCCATTTCTGTCCATCCACACTGCTGCCCTCAGGGTGAAAGTCAACTGTTGGCTGGGCCAGTTGGCTTTGCTGTGTCCCACGGCCCCTGGGCGCATTCAGTGGGTGTCACGCACACGCCTGCATGCCGGCCATGCCCGTGGGGATGGCGAGGTGCTGTGGCTGGGTAATGCCAAGGCAGCACTCTTCCAGTGGGGAGGGAGGAGTCGTACATTTATACACAAAGTCAGGGATTTACATTCTTTTTACCTTAATGTCTGAAGGTAATATTAGCGTCGCCTCCAAACATTCATCCAGAGCTTTGGGTTCTCGTATTACTTGGTAATATGGACACTTAAGGCTGCAGGGTTGTATCACATCCTCTCTGAAAACTGTATATCAAATGTGTATATTGGACTAATGAGTAAAAAATCAAATGCTCAGACTTAACTGGCACTAATCACATATGACTTTCATGGAATCTGAAAAATAGTCCCTGAGGACTGAACTGTGGAGAGACTGGGAGGTTTAGGGAGGCCACCTCTAAACAGTCCAGCTCAGAAGACGTTGCTGAAATGGGCCGCCTCAACCTGAAGGGAGGGGGCTAGACACCATAAGGGTTGTGGTGGGCCCGTGCCGTGGTGGGCCGCAGCCCCTGGAGTGGGCACGTCAGAGGCACTTTGTCCCCTTCCACCGAAGGCAGTCCATTCGGCAGAGATGCACACACAAATTGTATTCAGCTATACTCATACTCGAGAGCGGAGCTGTCCAAGAGAAAGAATCCTTAGGAGAGAGCCTAGGCATTGGCGTGACCACCAATTTGCCCCAGCTGGACCCAGAAACTTGGGTATATGGAAATGCTGGTTTGGGGGTATTGGTATTCTCTGGGCTGAAGAGAATGAATGTCTAGAGAGCTTAGAAATGGGAAATGAAGACTCTCCGCGTGTGTAATAGGAGAAAGATGGAAACTTTGGAATATTTTCTGACATGGTCTTTACATTCAACGCAAGGTTTCAAAGAATCAGTTCTCAGCAGAGGAAGTTTGAGACTCTGATTTTAAAAAAATCCCTCTTGATCCCCATTGGATTCTGAAATGTAAAGAGTTCTTTCATAACCAGATGGACTTGGGATGAGCACAGCAGCAATCTATGCTTTTCTCACGGCCCGAGTCTTTAGGAGTGAGTGCGTGGACCAGGATGGATATATAGAAGGGTAACAGCATAATGCTTCCTGAGAACAGGAACTTCAAGTAATAAAAGTTCTCTTTTACATAAGAAGTTGACCCTCCCTTTTTCTGAGCAGCAAGTCTAAGTGCAATAAAACTTCTTTTGCGGCAGCTTCTCCTCTAACCCTATTGTTCAATGTTGGTTCTCCCATACTCTTCTACCTGGTTCATTTATATCTATCTTTGAAGACAACCCTGTGTCACTTTCTCTACTTCTGTTACTTCCCTCCTTCCCGACATTTTGCCTTCCTGGCATCCATGTCCCTTCTTCTGGTAGCTACACTTTGAGTTTCTTCAGGGGTCCTTCCTACCGCTGTCTTCCATTCAAATGGCTTGGGTGGGACTAATGAGGGCGGGCCTGCCACCTGGGCTCAACTAAGCCTGGCTGATTAAAGGATGGGCACGCGGCCCAGTCTCTTCCAGTAGGAGTCAGTCCGAGGGCCGTTACTGTAACTTTTGGATGAAGAGGAGCGCTTGGCCTGTGGAGGCTCCCGAGCTCATAGACTGTGAGCCTAGACGGCTGCTCCCCGTTGGCATCCCCTGGGACTGACCTGCCTGGGAAGAAAGCCGACCCGGAGGACAGCAAGCAGACCGAGAAGGAGAGACCTACTGATATTATTTGAGCCTGTTCTGAAGCCAGCATCAACCCTTAGATCACAGATTTTCTTTTCTGCTTGGGTTAGAGTTGGGTTTCCGACACTTCCAACTCAAAAGTACTGACTGATTCAGCATCCTTACCACTCGTTCCAAAAGATACTCCTGATCCCATCCCAGATTTCCTCCAGAGCCTTTCTGTTTCCTCTTGCACCTCCTCCTGCTTCCTTCTTACGGACTCCTCCTCCTCCTCAGGATGAAGTAGACTGCAATTTCTTCTCATCCTTAAAAAAAAAAAGCAAAACCAGGCAAACAACCCTCTCATGACCCCATGCAATCCTTCACTTGTTTGCCCCTCTCTCCTTAAATTCCTATTCCAGTTTCTTTGTGAAAGAGCCCCGTATGGCCCCTTCGGGCCGCTGTAACAGAATGCTGCACACTGGGTAGCTTATAAACAACAGCAATCTATTTCTCACAGCTCTGGAGGTTGGGGAGTTCAAGGTCATGGTGCCAGCATAGTCGTGTTCTGCTGAGAGCCCTTTGCCTGGTTCATAGCTGGCTCTTTCTTGCTGTGTTCTCACTTGGTGGAGGGGGCAAGGGATCTCCGTGGGGTCTCTTTTATAAGAACACTAATCCCATTATGAAGTGGCTATCCTTATGACCTGGGCCACTCCCAACAGCCCTATCTCCTAATAACATCACGTTGGGCATTAGGGTTCCAACATAGGAATTTTCAGGGGACTTGAACATTTAGATCTTAGCAGGCTCCCCACACTAACCATTTACTTTCTCATTTCTCAACTCTCTTCTCAACTCACTGCCATTTGAGCTCCACTCCTGTCTTCCCTTGCAGCAGTTTTCAGGAAGGTCAGCCATGACTGGCTACTGGTCCAACACACAGGACACTTTTTGGTCCTGATCTTCCCTGGCCTCTCTGCTCCCCACAGGGCTCAGTGGAGGTCACACACCCGGATTTGCAATGGAACACACCCTTGGCAATTATAGTCAGTCCTCACAAGGCCAAAGTCCACATTTTCCTCCTTTCGTGCCTTTTCTTTTGACCCCCGCCTCTAAGATGACACAATCTATGCTATGGTTCTCAGCAGGCAACAGTCATGTAGTTCTGGACTGCACTTCCTTTTTCGAAAGGAATTTTGGTTGGTGCAGGAGGGGTGAAAGTTGCAAACTTTGTGAAAGGAGGGCTAGGGGCACGATACTGGTGTCCACTGGCCCCTGTGGGCGCTAGTCAATGTAGAGCATGTGAGAAATGGGTTTGTATTATTAGTTCAGCTTTGGGTATCCTAAGGAATTACATCCATTGGAGAAAGACAGTTTAGGTGGCGGCTACTGAAAGAATGCAGGGAGCTAAGGGAGACCCTTGTTTGAGATTAAGAAATGAATGGGAAATAAATGTTTTGGGCTTTTAACTGAGTAGAGGATTTTATAATTAAAAAATTTTAAATTAGATTTATTGGGGTGACATTGGCTAATAAAAATATATAGGTTTCAAGTGTACAACTCCACATCATCTGTATGTTGCATTGTGCTTACCACTCAGGGTCCAAACTCCTTGTCACCGTATATCCAGTATCTGACCCCCTTTACTACCTCTCCCCCACTCTCTTTCCCTCTGGTAACCACCGTACTGTAGTCTGTGTCTATGAGTTTTTGTTTGTCTTGTTCATTGGATTTTTCAAACTTGAATTTCTCACTGAAGTCTTAAACATGAGCGGTAGCTCCGATTTTTCAGACCTGAGCATTACTACTTTAGTATTGCAGATTCCTCAACTGCGGTTCTAATCCAGACTCCTTCCTTCCCTGAGCTTCAGAGCTGCACATCCGGGGTCTGTTTCTGTTCCCTCTCGGGTGTCCCGTAGTCCTCTCCAACGTGACACTGCACTTGGCTTTTCCTCCCGTGCTCCACCCTCTTCCAGATACCAAGACACCTGGGAGCGATTCTAGGTTCCTCTTGCCTTCCTTTTCTCTTACAACCGTCTACTTCTTCGTGGTAGGGTTTCCAGTACGTTAGTTAGAATCCTCATGACTCTGGCCTTTGTCCTCCAATTGTGCATACTGAAGCTAGGTAATCTTTAAAAAGTTCAAATTTGATTTTGTGGCTCATTGTTTAAAATCTTCCCAGTGACCTCTGTACAACGATGAGACTCCTTAGTCCAGTGCAACAGGGCCCTTCATCTCCTCAGTTCTCGTCGGGCCCTCTCGGCTGGTTCACACGCTCCCTCTGCGTCCGTCTCCTTGCGTGTCGTTTCCCAGGAGTCTCCTGGTCTTCCCTACCCCTGTGGTTGCCTTTTACTTGGCCGATTTGTACGGGTTCTTCAGGACTCAGTTTAGAGACCTCAGAACTTAGGAGACCTCTCTCCTGTGACCATTGCCCCGGGGTTGAGTGGGTCCCCTCTGGGTTAGTGATTATCGTGATGCTTATTTAATGGGAATTAGACTTGCTAGCTCTTCCCCTCTCTAAGCTTCTTTAAAAAATTTTGTTTTAGAGAGAGGAACATAGATTAGTTCCACGTTTTTAAAGCATTCATTGATGTATCTGCCTTGATGAGGGATCAAACTCACAACCTTTGCATAGCGGGATGACACTCTAACCAACTGAGCTACCCCGCAGGGCCCACGACTCCAAGCTTCTTAAGGGCAGAGACTTGTCTTGTTCATCTTAGCATATCAGTGTTGTTATAAAGAGTTTTTTCCCAAGTGTACAAAATAGTAGTACAAAAACAAAGTGAAGAAAAATAATTCTAACATTCAAGTAGGTTCCACCTTACGAGTCAGAGAAGACCCAGAAAAAATAGAGGGACTTTGTCTGGGGCTATTAATACCAAGTCTTTGAATTAAAATAGAATTGGGAAATATAGCAAAAGCTGTTCATTAATTCAGCAAATGAATGTGTTGACATAGGTATGTGTGGAGGTATCTTCGGTTACACATGATTATGTATGATTTACAATGAACAAAACATCTCCCTGGCAACATAATTATAACAGAACTTAATATTCATTAGTTGCCAGGTATACTAAGCACTTTGTTGGTTACTTCTTTCAATTTAAATTTTTTCTATTTAAGATAAATGAAACTATCAAAAATTATATAGGAACCTCCCCCCCCCCCAAAAAAAAAACAACAACCCAAATACCAGAGCTTTGAAAGGGTTTCTGGCACACCAGCTAAAAACTTTATGAAATCAGCACAGATTTTGCTTTGTAACATTCTGGATATTTCCCTTCTGTTGTTCGTGTTTCTATATCTCCAGAGACAGTCATTTGAATAGTGGATTCTTGGAATGTGTTTAGCCCTAGTTGTTATAATGAGGTTATCAACAAAATGATGAATGACATTTTGCATTGGTGTAGTCTTCTTACCTCTCAGAGGATACCTCCATATGATACCTTACTTACTTATAGGAAAAATAATGTCATGTTGAAAGAAAATAGAAAACCTTTGTCTTTCTTAAAATATACCTTCCTCCAAATTTGATTTTGATGAGTCCAAACTAAAATGATGTATTTAAACGACTGGCTTCAAGGACCTGTGGGGCTCCCCTCGAGGGAGGGGGAAAGTGGGGTAGCTGACACTGAGGGGCCGGGGGTCAAAGCACATGCCAGGGGTGCAGTGAATCAGGAAAGCTGGGGTGTACCTCCTGGACTCCCAGTTGCTGCCCTTAGAGCCATGGACACCACGTTTTACCCAGGATACAGAGGATGCCTTGAATCTTTGATAAACTTCTTTCAAACGGGAAGATGCACAGCCTCCCCCACTGCCGCCTTCCCGCAGCCTCGCTCCCACCGAGCAAACCTGTCAGCGTTCCCTGCAGGGGAGAGGAGAGCAACTGCTGGCGTTGCCTGCGTGGGGGGCCACGTGGGCGGCCACACTGGGCCTCGCACCAGTGTGCGGTTTACAGATTAAACCATGGACAAAGAGGAGCTGTTCTGGGGAAGAGGTATACTCTGGGTTGAAACACTTTTAGTTGAAATACAGCCATACACCACGAGAGCCCTTAAAGTGTTGCTTTCGAGTCCAGCTCCCGGCATCCCTCTGTAGAATTGCTACCACTCCTTCCCTTTCTCACTGTATTGTGTGGGTGGCCGGGTGACCTTTGGATATGCTGTGTGAAGATGTGCATGAAGATATAACAGGATTCTAAGATAAACAAGCAATTGTAGTGCATAGAAAATTTAATTTGAAATATCTTAAAATATTTCATCAAGAAGCTCTAAGTCAGGGCTTTGGCACCAGATGCTTAAGAAAATGTTTGGGTCTGACCTCCTATCAGTACAGGTAAACAGACATAAACAAAATTTTATATTTGTGTGTACACATATACACATATATGTATACATGCATACACATGCACACATGTATATAGTCATGTTATATATGTATATATTCAAGAGGTACATAATAGCTCTATATAGTTTCAAGATATATAGGAATTCAAGATGTATATATACATTCAAGATATATATATATATATAAATCTACCCTCACTCAGAGGTGGAATTCTCTAATTTTACTCAGGGCACGTAATTTGAAAAAATTACTCCAAAAAGGTACATTAATAAGTAAATGTAATTAAAAATGGACCGGGAATGAAGAGATGGCCCGCCTCTGCTCTTCTACTTTTAACTGTCGTGTTTTTTAAGGTTGTTAACTCAGATATACAACCAAACTCATTTCTGCTGACTCAGGGCCAAGTCTGAGCGGGAAGAAACCTGAGTACGCACTTGGGCCGTTCCCTGTCTTTGTGCAGACAGGTGAAGAAAGCCGTCAGGAGACCTGGGCTGTTTGTTCTTCGCTGAAAAGGTGGTGTTTCTCAACTACTGGGGTATAAACCCCTATTTTGTGAAGCGATTGTCTTAGATACGGTGAAGTAGCCACACTGAAAAATTCCATTTTCAGCTTGCTTCCAATCTGACTTTTTTTCCTTTTCTAGAAAGGCCTTGTGGCCGTGGCAGGCATGGCGGGAGGGGAAGTGCCTTTCTGTCTGGGAGTGAGACGATTTCCAACCACGAAGCCTTCTCAGCACAATGAGTTGTAGCTTCTCGCAGAGCACACCGAGAGACCTGCGCTCTCACACGTGTGCAGACTCACTTGGCGGTCTCAGGGTGCGCGGTACTTTCACTCTCGTGTGTGGCCTTCTCAAGTGTCATCATAACAAGAATGCCATGATTTCCTAAATGTACCAAGTTATTAAAAATGGACAAATATGTCCATTTAGATCCTAAATTTGGGTTTACATTTTTAAAATGAAGCATCAAGACCATAAAGGAACATGGCAATTTTATTTTTATGGGGGCCTTGCCCTGAGAAAAACAGGTATCTGTGTGTGTGTGTGTGTGTGTGTGTGTGTGTGTGTGTGGACATAGTTTTGCTTCTTTGGGTATTCTCTCTGTGTGCGCGCACAACCTGGAGAAGGAGCTCCTCTTTATTTTGGGTTGGCCAAGGATGCTCATGATATAATATTTGACTTATGCAGGATTTTGTTTTATTTATTTTAAACAGTGAAAACTGTACTTTTTCATCTACGAAGAAGGGCTCCCTAGGTGAATAAATAAGAAAAATACACAAAATTAGGAAAATATGTAAACTCAAGTTATGAGGTATTTTAAAGATACAGTGCCTGTAAAAATCTCTTTCCCACAAGTGACAGCTGCCAGATCTCACTCAAGCCTTCCTGACCTTGCACTTGGAGAAATGTAGAGGAGTCTGAGAGAAAAGCCCTTTTGTGGGTGTGACGGTGGCAGTAGCTCAGAGCAGCGTCAGGAAAAGAAAGTAATAAAGCAATATTTAAACACCTTTATATAAGAACAAAAATATTTCCTAAAAAGTTGTTAAAAGGCTTTTTCTTTTTCAGTCCTTACAAATCACTTTTACAGGACACTCGATTGTCTGTGGAACCCTCTTTGCCGAGGGAGTTTTTTTTTTTTTTAAATACTAGGAAAGTATGACTTATTCAAATTAGATTTTCCATGCTATATTTAGTTGTACAGATGTATTTAGGCCTAAAACTGTGGTTCACTGTATTCTGGGGAGAGCATGTATACAAAAAAATCCCAGGAACCCTCACACTCTCCTCAGACCCAGTCCATTTTAACCCTGCATCTCGGTCTTTCCATTCCTGTGGCTTATTGCTCCTGTGAACCAGGGGTCCCTGAACTCTCTGTACCGAACTCTCTGTGGCTAGACTCTGAGAAACCGATCCATTATTACTCACGTTTATCAAAGTTTCTGATCTTTTTCTGAGTAAATATTCAATAGGCTGTTCCTTTCACTCTATAACCAATCAGGAATTCCCAGAAAACCCACTTCATTCTGTATAATGCATATACCAGAAGCACACGAATCACACACAAACACGCTCCCAGTCAGTATACGTAGGCATTCACTCGAGGGTAAGTCAGTGATGAGCCAAACATACATACATGTGCAAATGTACAATCGAGAGAAAAGTATTTAAATCCTAATGTCCTTTGAATATGAAAAATGAGCCGGGAGACAGCTCCTGTGACGTGTATATGAAAGCTTTAGACTGTGGTTTTCTCATGGGAGTAGCTTCATATCACGTCTCTGGAGTTGCGTATTGCACAGCAGAGGACCATGCTGAACACCATGCCGAGGATCTGAAAGGGAAGGATGCACGCGTTAGTGACTTGCAGGTCACGGAAACTGACGGAAAGCGCCTGTGTGTCTCACTCAAGCTAACAAGTAATAGGACCAACAATTACTGGTTATAAATGGCATTTTTACGTATCTCCTTAATTATGACTACAGATTAGAGACTTCCATATTAACTCTGCCTAAAATGCACTCCAATTTCACTATTGTTGAAACGTAACAAGGCTCAGCTAGAAGAAAATAACTCTACATCTAGCTTCCAGAACAGTTGTTAATAATTGTAAAAGACCAATAATAGAATACTGTTTTGGGAATTTAATATTTTAGGTTAATTTCAGATCTCTTCTATCTTTGCTTTGAGAAGAGTTTATAACCACTAGTTGTTTAAATATGCCTGTGGTCTAAATAGTTGTCCAATGTTGGAAACAATTTGAGTTTTTGCAACAGTGGCTGCATGTGAAAAAGTGAACCATCTCTTCATTTCCCGTCCATTTCTAAGTATAAGTGATGCTTCACTATTTAACTCGATAGTCTGACCAAAACATAAACCAAGGTGTTTGAGCTATGATATTCTTGGTGTCTTCTACGTCTTGGATGATCTTGGAGAAGCCAAGTGCTTGACAAGCTCAGTAGCCACTGAGACGCTCTGAACAGAAGGGTGCCCAAAGATCCTTGTCCTCTGCGCTTCCCCCGACCATTCTGCAGAGCCAGGGGAGTGCTCTCTGCGGGCCCGATGTTTATGAACTATCGTCAGTGTTCGTTTAAAGAAATCATTGCCATGACTCTCTGGTTCTCTCCTCAATCCCACCCTGTATCAGACGAGGGTCTGCAAATGCCAGGTTAAAGAAGACATGTGTTTGTCTGTTATTTCGGAAGGGAAGGGGTAAGCTAATTAAATAAGGGAGTGGCCTTCAAGCTTGGGCGGGGCTCCAACCTTCTGGCTGACGGAAGTCAGCACCAGCGTGTGGCAGGGGAGACACCTAATGGACATCTGGTTAACTGACTGCTCTGTGCAGCTCCTACCACAGGAAGAAAAGAATTAAGGGAGAAACTCGGGGGGCACTGATTCGAGGTGGCCAACGGAGGGAATGTAAGGCTGGATGCAACCCTGACCTCACCCAGTTTTACTCTAGAGGGTGCCCTCAGGAAGAAACTTTACCAGCCTCATCCTGTCACTGTCATGAGGCAGGGGTGACCGACCGCTTCTAGGAGGCTCATTCGTCGAGACTAGAGGATTGTGAGGAGGGTCTGTCTGGTACTTCCGTTACACAGAATGTTCTCAAATGTTCCACCTCAGGATGGTGATCATGCTAGCCCCGGACAGGTGGGGAGGGCCTGAGAGGTGTCCCTGGTCTGGGGGTCCTCAGCATGGTATGTCACCCGCCTCCCCACTGCTGTGCTCCAAACACACACAGGAGGAAAGATGCTTGAGTGTCTCCCCAGACCTGCCAATTCGTTAGTTTCCTTGCAATTCCCATTGCCCCCACCATAGCTTAGACCAGGAATCAGCCTACGTGGAGGCTTAGAGGGTAAGTACTTCCTTAGCATTAGCTCGTCCCACTCAGCCCCCCGGGGAATGGAAATCACTTCTTTACCGGCCCCACCTGACTCCAATCTTGCTTCCCTCCGACTTTATCTCCAGGTCCTTCTAACCCTGGGTGGCTCCCCTCTTTCTACCCGACCTCTGAAAGGACACAAAGACCTCAGTTATGTGGACCCTCACACCCCGTCTTTGTCATCTTTTCTTGCTACTCCCACCACACCCTTCAGTCCCTAGCCATTCTCGCACACTCTTCCTGTGCACGTTAGGAGTGCAGAGCCACCTGCAGTGCCTGGAGGCACTACGACCCACACAGTCACAAATGCTCTTCCCTCTGCCTGGAATCTGTGTTTGGGAGCACACAGATTGCATCAACAGCCAGCATGCCTTCAGTGCTATGTTCCAGGCACTATCATTTCTAATAATACTTTGTATGTGGTATTGCGTTTAATCTTCACGACAATCTTAAGAGGTTGGTACATTAAAACCCTCGTTTTACAGGTGAGGGAATTGAGGCACAGGGAAATTAGGAAGCTTTCCCATGATCCCAGGGTTCGTAAGTAGCGAAGCCAGGAGCGGAAGCCAGACAGCGTGATCACGCCAGAGCTCACGCCGCTCAGTGCCACACTGCGCCGGCTCTGCAGACCGCAGGTGAGAGGGTTAACCTGACGCTGTTTTGCATTTCTAACTGTAGGGAGAGACCAGAAGTGAAAATCACTGGTCTAGTTTAAGCTCGGTGGCTTTAAATCGGGAAGTTATTACAATGATAAACTCAAGGTTGTCATTATGCTATGATATTTGTATCATATTTTAGAGAACTCAGGCTTAATGTATTCAATTAGCTTTTTTCGGAGATGTCCTGTCAACAGATGGCTTTGTCTTTTAGAAGACACATGTCCCAAGACACTGCCGTCACATGAAGAGAAATAAGGTGCAAAGGCACGAGGCTCCTCCGAGGGCAAAGGCTATGTTCTGAAACTTTCTCACCGTGAGAGCTGCAACTCCAATGCCGACAATTCCAATGAGCTGGAGCTTAACACTGATTACGGTCTCGATTTCATCAATGCAATTCTGTTGCGGAAAAGAAAAGTCAGCAGTAACACCTGATGGTATAGTCGCCCTCCTTTCTCCGTGGGGGACACGTCCTGAGACCCCCAGTGGATGCCTGAAACCGCAGACAGTGCTGAACCCGGGACATAGTAGCACTAAAGATAATCACTAGCATTGTTGGTGCATTCTTAGACACAAAGCTCATTCTTCATATACAACTGTGTGCTTTTTCAGCTTAACACTGGATTTCAAAACTGTTTTCTTTCATTAAAAGTTCTCTAAGATTGTGATCATAGTGGCTGTAAAACACTTTCTCCTATGCTAGTCATAACTTGTTAAGACAGTCCCCTGTTGTCACATATTAATGGCCTATCTGGGGTTTTGCTCTTGGGATGACGGTGCAGAGAACACCATCGCGCAGAAGTCTCTATCCGCAGCTCTGATTTCTTCTCTTAAAATAATTTCGAGCAGTGGCATTTCTGGACCAAAGGGCATGAACTACTTAACCCATCAGCCTTGCATACTCATATCGCCCTCTAAAACTTGTGTACCAATTTCTCTGAAAATGCTCATTTTACGTTATTTGTGCCCCACACTGTATATTATTATCAAGGGGAAAAAACTTGGCCAATTTCTTAGGTTAAATAATAGCATCTCTTTATTTTAAGTTGCCTTTATTTTAAACATTATTATTAATTGCCTATGATTTCGATGTGTAGAGTGGGAATTTGGGTTTCCGTTTTTCTGGACTCCTTCCCCCTGTCCTTTGCCCAAAGCCACACTGTGTGAAGGGCGCCCTCCCTTATTTGCCCCCTCTCCTGCAGCCTGGGCTCTGCCCTCACGCCGCCTCTGACACCGGGTCACCGCTTTTTAAACGCTCAGTTCGGTCAGCTTTCCGGTACGTCCTTGAGCGTTTAGTCCCCCTCACAAGCCACCACGTTTTCTGCTTCTGTGCTGTTGCTTAGGCTGCTTGGGGCAGGCAGGGCTCCCCCAGGCCCTCCTGCCAACGGAAGGTTTAACCAGAAGTCACTACTCCGGTCTGCCTCCCCCCCACCCCAGACCCCCAGCCTCTGGCCTCACCCAAGCCCCACCCTGCTTTCACGGCATCATGCACAGTTTGTGCGCACCGCTGTCACTGTGCTCAATCCACTGCTGAGGTCGCCTCTGCTGTCAGACTTCAAGTTCCTTGAGAGCAGGGACTTTGTCTCACTCGTCTGTGTCTGCAGTGCCTGGTAAATGCCGAACTGACCTTGGTGGCAGCACCTGGCCCTGGGGACAGTCCCTGTTCCCTCGTCCTGCCTCCTCACTGGTGTCTGCCTACTCCTCCTCATCTCCTTAGTGGGCAGCTCTTCCTCTGGCCATTTCTAAACATTGTTTCCCACAGCTCTACCCTTCTTCTTTTCCTCCAAACCTAACGGAGCAAATTCAATCTACAGCTTTAAGATTCCCAAACCTCTCTCTTGAGCCGCAAACCAAATTTTCCAATTGCCTACTGGGCGTTTCCACTTGGAAGTTCCGCTGGCTGCACCAAATCCCCGTGTTAAACACTGACCTCACTTTTTTTTTTCTACAAAATTTGCTTGTTCTCTATTCCTCCGTTCAGTAAATGATGTCATCATCCCTCCAGACAGGGAAGCCAGGACCCAGCAGTGGGCATCTGGCTTTTCTCCTGTCTCGCTGGTCACCAGGTCCTGCAGACATAATGTTCTAGAAGTCCTTTTCCTCTCCATTCCAGCCGCGCAGTCCAGCTTGTTACCAGTTAGCAACTATTGGCTGGCCGTGCGGTTACAGCTTTCCCACCTGGTCTCTCCAGCTCCAGGCTATGCACCCCCTCCAGTCCCCCTTACTGCTACTATGTCAGACTCAGGAAAACCCAAATGCCACCGCAGAGCCCACCTGCAGCGGCACCCTAAGCATGCGGCATGAAGTCCCGATTTCTGGCTGCAGGAGAGTATTGGAGGCCCTTTGAGAACAGGTGCCCCCTCTGCAAGGACTCACCCGGGCAGGCCCTTCCTGCCCCCACACTCTCCTGGATACAGCTGCCTTCTCTGGCCTCTACGTTTGCCTGATGTCCTCTACCTGGAGCGTTTATTCCTTTGTTTGCTTGCTGAACTCCTATTCATCCTTCAAAATTCACCCTCAGAATCACGCCAGGGGAGCCTCCTGGGAGCCCTCGAGTCCCGTGCGCCTGGCTGAGTCTCCCATGCTACCATATGGGGCAACGCCTCCCTGGATGTCTCCCCAGCCAGAGGGTGAGCCCTTGTGGGCAGCGGCTGTCTTACTCACTTCTCCCAACTCCGAAGGACTCAGGGAGCGTTCAGTGGGTGCTTCACAACACAAGCTGGGAGTAAATTCTCACCCACTCCTTCACAGCCGAACGCCTCGGGCATCGGTATCATTGTTCCCACATTCTCCTATTTCCCTCATTTCCCATGTGGTACCTGTGTTTTCCCCACTGCTGCACTGGAAGCACGTGGTGAACGCCATTAACCATCTTCTAAGCACCAAATCCAACAAATTATTTCCAGCCTTCACGGTCTTACCCTCCTCCCAGCATCTGACTTTGTGGACACGCCATCTCCTCCCTTGTTCCCTGGGTGCCACTGTCGCTGGGCTCTCCCTGACTCCGACTCCTCCCTCGCAGTCTCGTTCCGGCTGCTCGTCCTCGGCGGACCTCTTCCCTGGCCCGTTTTCAGCCACCTCTTCCCCATCCCACACTCTCTCCCTGCGTGCTCCCATCCACACCTGCCCATATGGCCTTAGCGACCACCAACATACGGCGATTCCACACGCACGTCTTCAACAAAGATTACCTGTAAGTCCCACAGACACCTGAAGTGCAAACTTGACCGAGGCTGAAGCTGTCCTCCGCCCGCAGGATCTGCTCCTTTCCCCACACTCACCTGCTCGGTGAGTGGAGCCTCTGCCCATCACTCCACTGACGCAGAAGTCTGAAGTCTCGGCTGCCTCCTCCCCTGCCCGACTCAGGCCCGTAAGTGGTCCAGGCCTGACGACTTCCGATTCCACCCCCGAACATCTCTGAATCTGCCGCTTCCCCTCCCTCCCCATTGTTGTCATGTGCTCTAACCCTTCATCCCCTCTTACCAGGGTGACCACTGGATGTCACCTAAGTGGCCTCTCTCCATAGTCTCTAACCTTTGACTCTCCCAGACACACCCAGCAGCCTGAATGCTCTCCCTGCAATGCAAAGCCGACTGTGTTAATCCTCTGCGCTGCCCCAAGCTTCCAGGTGTGAAATCATGCCTCCGACAGCCTCTCCAAAAAATGTTCCTCACCATTCGCTCTGGACAACCTGTTCTGCAGTCATGGAGCGTCATACCGTGTGCCTCTGCCACTGCTGTTTTCTGGGCCTGGAATGACCTTCCTTTGTCAACACTCAGCTCAAGGACCCCATGCTCTGTGAAGCTCTCCTAACCCCCTGTCTGCTGTGCATCCCGCACAGAGTTCAGGCACAGCACCACGTCCCTTGACAAGCCTGTGAGGCCACTGAGAAAGGGACCTGCGCCTTTCATACCGTTTTCAGAACTGGCGTGGTGCCCGACACACAGCGCTTAATCATCAAGTACTTACCGGCACTGAGACCCCCACGCAGAGACGTGGGGCAGCATTCTTGGGTGTGCATTAAATTAGTGAGCCACATCAGTGCCGTAGCGTCTGCATCATTGCGCAGGGCGCGGGAGATGGAGACCCAGCTCTCACTCAACAAAGAATAAAGCCAAGGCCCAGACAGCACTGGGAGAGGACCCTGCTGGAGACGCTTACCTTGGGTACTAGAAGCTCCTTCGGGCACGTGGGTTGGACCTGCTCCGGGCGTTCTTTTCCGCAGCACTGAAACTAGGGAGTCAGAAGACAGCTTTTAGGACACGGGACGGGGGGGCAGCGGCTGCAAGTCTGGGCACCGCCACTAAGGCCCCGGGGCGCCCCGGCCTGGTCACCGCAACCCAGACGCTGTTTGTGCTGAGAAAGCGGAGAGTCACGTGACTGTGCAGGCGAACCGAGAAAAAGACTTCTCCGAAGTTGTCTCGGTTTTATGATGGGAAGTGACTCAAGGCAACCCAAAGAGGCAAGGAGTTAATTTCAGTGTCTGAGTAAACTGCTGTTTTTTGGACAGGACTTGGGCCTTTAGATTTTTTTCTTTCAAGTCTGGGAGTAATTTAACCTGTGGAGTAGCTGGGGTTTTACGAGCTTTGGGAAGGGTTCATTAACTGGGGATAGTCTGGGAGTGGAGAAGTGGCCACAGTAAACTCCAGGGGCTAAAGACCAGGGCTGGAAGCCTGGCCAGCAAACAGGTGTCCTGCCTTAGGGACGGCCCTTCAAAGACAAAGGGACCCGTGTGCAGCTTGATGTCCTGGGGTAGCTGAACCTGAGCCGGATAAATGGTCGGTGCCTGCCGGGATGTTCCCGGAACAGACTGGCGCTGGGATCCCTGGAAACACGTGGCCCAGGGGCTCGGGGCTCCGTCTTTGTATCACCGCGGTTGAGAAATCCCACAGCTCTGCCAGCCTTCCTTGGTTAAGTGGGTATAGCTTGCAGCAGTGCCCTGATGAGAGGACCTTGCAGAAAGAAAGGAACTGGCTGTCTCACGTACTCCTTTATTTTACAAACAAGGCGAGCCAAGTATCAGGGAGGCGAGGGACTAACCCGAGGTCACAAAGCTGTCCAGCGGCAGAGCCGCAGCTAAGAGTGAGCTTTTCGGGAGATCATGGTTGTGTCTGGTGCACCGTGATGCCGCCCTTGGAGAGAAGCCGGTAGTGTTTGGGCTCCTTTCTCCGAGCTCTCATTTGTGCTCTTTTGTGTCTTTGGGGCACGTGTCCCGACCTCCTCTCGTGAACTCTGTGTGCGGGGCCGCCTCCTCCTCTGGGTTTGATGCGTGAGGTGCACGGTGGCCGCCAGCAGGGCTGGACCGCGGTGCTGCTGCCTGGCCTCGCCGAACTGACTCTCAGTTATTTACTTATGTTTGAAATTTACCGAAAAGAACAATTTTGTTTCTTTCTTGGTATTTTGAAAATTAGAAGGTTAATACAATTGTAGGACCCACTATATAAAACCCAAATAAAATTTACAACAACTCTGGAAAACATAAAAAACATCGTTTTGTGCTATTATATTTTCCAGTCTTTGTGAAATACAGCTGCTTCTTTAACTATCATGGCAAATAATTAATAGTATGCAAATAACATATACTGATATGATATGAATTCTAGAACGTCTCTTTAGGGTGGGAAAACAGCATGAACAGACATTTAATAAGAAAATCTAGATATAGTAAAATTCTTTAAGGATCCTTTTCTTTTTCTTTTTTAAAGGATTTTTTTCAACAGTAAACTTACACTATTAGTATATGTGTGTATATATGTACATAGAAATATATGTACACAAATATATGCATATATATACATTATAGCATACAATTTATAAAACATATGCAATATCCCCTGCTTTTTATTTTTAACCCAGGTGATCAGAGAGAAGCTGGCCCACAAGTTACATTTAGAAGATTGACTTTTAAGGAAGAAGTGAAGTTACTTACCGTCGAGTGGAAGGTAATGAGAGTCCCATTTCCCCTCCCCCTGTCTTTAAGGTAATCGTTATAAGCCTCTTCATACATGGTCTGAACGTGTCGTATAGCCTGAAAAACACCAGGAAAACCGAGGGGACAGTGAGTGGAATCTGACTTCTATTCCATTCCAAACGGGATAATCTTATACTAGAGATCTTTTTTTCTCTCTTTTTAAATCACAGATACCTTTACAACTCTAATGAAATTTCAAACATTCTCCTTTCATCACGGAAAACCGCCTCTTCCTTACCCTTCAAAAACACAGCCTTTCCAATATGTTTATCTGTATTTTAAGATAATTCTGCATATATGGAACAGATTATAGGTTCTGGGGTTTCTAAGATACTTTTGAAGATGGAAGGATAAATGAACAAGAATAATTTTCATAGACTAGAAAGATTTCTTAGAGTGCAGGTTCCTCGAACCTCGACGCCTCGAACCTGGGGCATCGGCATCAACTGGACCCCAGATTGCTGGGCGACCCAGGAGATTGGGATGTATGGCTGGGGTCACGACCTATGCTTCTTGGTACCCACTGGTTAAAACAACTCCACTTTTCTCATAATGTGGTTTCAAAGGTGTTCATGACCAAGGAAAACTGTTTCGGCATTCAAATATCACCTAAAATGTGGAGAATTCCTCTACAAACATAACCAGCTACCATAGGAAAATTCCAAAGAGGTGGTATTTACTTATTCTACATGTTTACTATTTTTTAAAATCCAAAATAGTTTCAATTGACAGCATGTGAATTTATGTGAAATACAGTAAACCTAAGATTCCATTCTTCCTCCTTTTTCATTTCGGAAACACCCTTCTCTGCCACAGTGTGTTTTAAGTATCTGAGAGGCCACTTCCTCTGTGGGTTCTCCCAATGGCCTATTCTGGACACCTACGATTTGAGCACAGATCTAAATTAACGGGCTTCACCAGCACACAGAGGTCATGGCCTCGGTCCCGGCCAAGCCCTAAGGACAAGTGGTAGACACAACGGGTGAGAACATACATTCTTCCCCAACCCTCTTTCTCACATCTGCAATCTGACTCTATTCCATTTCGAACGGGATAGTCTTATACTAGAGATCCTTTTATTTAAAAAAAATCACAGACACCTTTATGAAGCTAGTGAAAATGAGTGAAAATGATGTGCACATGTGTGCACACTCAGACACTCAGTCCCGTCCCAAACAATGCTTCTGGGTTAAATGGTTCTGCAGAAACGATATTTGTGTGGGTTCCTTGGTTTTATAACATCACTGTGAGTGTCAATAACCTCCTGCCTTTTGCCATAGCAAGAACACTTGAAGCATCATACAAAGAAATTGTAAGACATTTTTACTTACTACACCCTTGCCTATGAAGGCGAACACTCCAGTGGTTACTTCAGCAGCAAATATCACCAGCAGGCAGGTGAAGAACTGTGGCGAGAAGACACTAACTTCACTAATTCAGCACTTTTTGATTTATTCAGCCTCTTTGATGCTGGTTTCATTTGAAAAACATTAGGCAAGTTTATTACTTTGAGCTGATCTAGCAGGAAGCATTTGCCCCTTAGTCCCTTGTAGTTTATTCATTCATTCATTCACTCATTAATTCATTGAGCAATTGTTTATTGAGCATTTACACTGTGCCAGGTACTGTCCTTGGTGCTGGGTAGACAGTGGAGAATAAGGTAAGACCCCCCTCCCTCTGCTACTGTGGACCTTGTATTAGAAAGGAGATGCTATGAGAAAGGAATAAAGCAATACAAAAATCGAGTAAGGCAATTTCAGATGGTGATATAGAAATGGTGCCTGGCACCTGTACTCAACACAGCACTTGCTGGACAAAAGAGGTCCTATGAAAATGTAAAAGAAGAGCAGGAGGTGGAAAGTGACGGGTGGGGCCTGGCTTTGGGGAAGGTGGGACTTGAGTCTGTGCAGCCTGGAAGCTTCTCTGAGGAGGTGGCGGTGGAGGTGCTGGTGTCCTGGACAGATTTCTGTCCTGGTCTCTTGGGTTTGCTCTGATGTAACTACGCTCAGTGATAAACCAGACGGAGAGGTGCTCAGCAGCAGGGGAGAGAGGGAGAGGAGGAAGGGCATGAAGACGTGTTAGAGGTGAGTTTACATAGTAACAGGCGAAGGCTGCGCTGGGCAAGGACAGGCTGACCATAAACCCGCTGGTTCTGGCTCCTCGTGGGGAGACACGAAAAACTCCCCCCTTCCTGCTAGTCTTCTCCCTTCTCCCGTTTTTCTTGGGCCACGCTGGCATTGGACGCATAGCAGTTCACAGAAATTTTTGGTTTTTGCAAAACCAAAAAACAAAAACCAAGACAGAGGCTACTTGTTAAAATAAGCCGCAAGAGGGCTGTTTGGTGAAGTTTTGCCTTTTCTCCCTGATAACAGCACTACCCTGCCTGTAGGAAGCTTCCAGCTGCTTTATGTACTGTGAAGTAGTGTTTTTTAAAAGAACAATCCTAATCGCCCCTTTCAATTGTTAGACACTTTTCCTCCCTAAACATCTTTACACTAATAACCTCATTCCTCGCCCCGCAACCCCTTTCCATAGGAGGCAGGGACGAAGATAATATTGTTCTTATGCAAAAGATGGAGAAATGGAGACTCAGGGGGAGCAGGTGGGTGCCCAGGTCTCGATGATCCCGGAAAGGGCTGGCGTTGGAGGCCGGACATCAAGCTCCCTTCAGACCAACTCCCTGGCGCCCCACTTACAGATCCGAGCACGCACTGCGACTCCCGCATGGCTCCGCAGCACCCGAAGAAGCCCACGGCCATCATCAGGGCCCCTGCGCCGACCAGCACGTAGAGCCCTGCGGGGAAGAGGGAGGAGGGGACGCTGAGCGCTGGCTCCAGCAGGCGCTGTTCTGGCATGGCCAGGCCACCACTGCTCCGCGTCCGCAGGGCAGGACCCCAGGCTGTGAGTAATACAGCGGTGACGCCTGCGGAGGTCTTGCTGAGCCTTCACTCACCCGAGTTAGTCCGCACAAGGATCCTGAGCGGGAGGGCCGCCACCATCCTCGGTGCACAAAGAACGCCTGCCCGGCTTACCGAGGTGAGGGGACCCGCTCTCAGGCCCCCGCCCAGCAAGGAATGGACCCGATGTGTGTCCCACCCCCCTGCCCCTGCTCTCAGCCCTCCCACAGGCCTGCTGTAGGCCGGGCCCTTCATCGTTCAGACTCCCATCACCCCCGCAAGGTGGGTATCACCCCTGCTGGTGTGGACCTGCTGATAGGCGTCAGGAGGGCCGGGAGCCACCGCAGGGGCGGAGACACCACCCACAGCTCCCAGGAGCCCCTTACGGCCCGTGGCCCTGGGGACCGAGGACTGTCTCGTCTCTGAGAGGCCACGAGGACACAGTGGGAGGGAAAGGGCCACACATGGGCTGCCTGGGCCCAGAGTGGGAAGCAGGGAGAGAGGGGCTTTCGGTTAAGGAGCAGGCAGGACACCGAGATGAGGCAATGAGGTTTTGTGTGAACTATCACCTTTGGAGGCCACACCACAGACTGTGGACACCCGGGAGCAGGTGCTGCAAGGACAGCTGGGGTGTGGGTGTGTGTGTGGGGGGGCAGTAATATACACCAAAACATGCTACTATTAATATACCGTGAACTACATTTATTAAGGCCTTATTTTCTCCAGGCACTGTCCTGAGCATCTAGCACAGATTTATTCATTTAATCTTCAAGAAGCACATACCATTATTATCTCCCTTTCTTTAAGACAGAAGAGCTGTCTAAAAGGTTAAACAGTTTGCCCAAGCTCAGAGAGCTGGATAAAAATAGCCATCTGCCTCCACAGCCTGCTCATGGTCACTTTCCTATCTGGCCTCTCCAGCAGTAACAGCAGCCTCGGCTCAGGTGGGAATTTCTCGTACCACCTAAGTCAAGCCGCGGGAACAGTTCTCCCAGAGAAAGGAAAGGACAGAAATGTTCTTGTTCCGAGAGAGAGAAAGCCAAGTCTTTCCTTACTTCCTCTTCTGATCCGGAGATAAGTTAGAACACAATACAAGGCCTGGCACTTGACTTGCTTAGAAAAATGCCAGCCACCTCTATTTTATTTTTTTTGCATTTTATTCATATGAATCACATGGAAACCACTCCCAGTTGCAGCAAGGGTGGGGAACTGGGTGCCACCTCTGTGGGGAAACCCTGAGCCTGGCCTGTAGGTGCCTCCGGGGGCCCCTCTGGGTGCCTCCGGTGGTTTGTGGGCAGATCCGATCTGCACCCCGACAGAGGTGGGGCGGGGCCCAGGCGGCCCCGCTTCCTGCTGGGAGCCTCCTCAGGTCGGGGAAGCCCCAGGTTCTGCACTGCTGAGGCAGGTACTTAGGTATTTCCAGCTCTGCTGGCCCTGCCACTTCCTCCCCTCTCCTTTCCTCTAAAAAAGCAGTGTCGTGGGGAGTGGATATGGGAATGAGAGAAATGATATTTAAATAATACTACTGTGGGCCCCACTGCCTAAACACCTTATGGCTTTTAAAAATTAAGTTTTCAAAGCTCTTTCATTTCTATCATCTCTGGGCTCCTCAGAACAGCCCCAAATGCAAGGCCAGTGCTACATTGCTGTTTTACTAATGAGGTCAAGGAAGCCAGGTGGCAACAGGCAGGACAAAGAGGCCTGGAGCCCAGTTCCCGCCCCACGGAAACGGGCTGCGGGGCAGCCCCACACCACCGTACTCAGTCAGTTCCCTCGCTGAACGGCTAGAGGGTGGACACCTTACTGTATCGATTTCCTGCTTACAACATTCATGGCCTCCCCACCATTCTGCTCTGGGCCACAGCCTAGGGACCGGCCCCCTCTGGGTCCTTATCCATCCTGCGCTCTAGTCACAGGAGGATTCACGGGGGTCTGACCCGGCCTGCTGTTTTCCATTTGGTACATTTGCAGGTTCTCATATATGTCTTCCTCTGTAGATGTTAAGTCCATAAACAAGCCTTATCATCCTACCTAGAATATGCCCAACACATGGCAGAATTCTCAGTCGGTGTTGCTGGACATGAGGATTAAGAAAGCAAATCAGACCTCACCTTCCGGATGGGCTGTCTGCTACCGCTCCTTGTGGCTTAGCGACACACGCTGGAGACACATCCCAGCAGATGTCGAAGAAGCCACCACAGGGCTGGGCTCTCCCAAGGTCAAGTAGATGAGAAAGGGCCCCACAGAGTCAAATATAGGGAGGAGGGGTGTTCCTGAGGAGGCCAGGGCACTTCCCCTGGGAGCAAGCGTGCTCAGGCCCTGGGGCAGGGATCCCTGCCCTTTGGGAATAATGAGCTCCCCAAGCACATGCGCTCGTTTGTACAATACTCCGTCCTTCGGCTATCAGAACCCAAGCTCACAGCAATACACTCTGCCACTGGCCCTGGATCAGCCAGGCAGCTCCAAGCCCCGAGGCCCCTCCTTAGCGAACCTCTGTGTGTATTTGGGCCACAGGGCTCCGCCCACACCCATGAGCCCTGCTGGTTGGAGCTGATGGGAAAATCAGAAGAAGCTCAACAAGTGGTAAAATCCCTGCGCCTGCAGAATCCAGTTCCCAAATCTAGTTATAAGACTCAGCACACCCGCGTGGTTTCTAAGGATACCTTAACCTTTTCTGATCTGGCCCCTAAAAGAGCTGTTGCATGGATGAGTACATTGACTGAGTGTCACATTGTAATTCCTAGGTGGCTCTGTGGAGTCCTCTCCCTCCCACACCAGCCTGCGTGACAAGTGTCTGACCTATTTCCCGATTCCCCACGCTTTCGGAGCCCTAGTTCCCCTGACTTGAAAAGAGAAACTGCTTTGAAATTGCATATTTATTACAGCTGGGCCTGGAGATGCCAGTGACCCCAGGGACAGGCTACCAGGAATTCCTGACAATTCCATCGCTTGTTTCTTAGGTTTCAGACTCTTCTTTTTAAGTTAGAAGCATTTTTTTCAGTCGGCACAGAAAGGAGGCACAGCAACTTCCTTGAAGCCTGGTCTGCATCAACTCAGTTGAAAATGCGCCCCCCGCTCCCCCCCCCCCATTCACTGACTGGCTCGTGGATGGCATGGCCCTCAGTTTCAATGGCTTTGTGGCAGCAGATGGGTTTACATACCCGACTAATGACCATTTTTCACCTAAAAATGTTTTCCTATGCCTCTGCAACTCTCCCTCCGTCCCTCCCTCTCAGCTTGCCCAGGACGCACATAATTATATATGCGTCTAGAATATTGGATGGCACTTAGTTTATGGGGAAGGTAAAGGTCTTGGGTCCTCTCTCCTAAACAACAGCTATCAGGTATTGAATCAGGCAGCAAGAAGCGTAACCACCGCCACTTCCTGCTCTGTGCAGTCTCCGGTCAGCACAGTTGACGGGAACCGCCACCCAAGAAGACAAGCGGGGGTATCAGCCATTCTCTCATTCTGACTGTCTGGCATCTAACCCCCTCCTGCAGCCTTCCGTCTCGTGTTCGCGCCTGCGTCCCGCAGGACGACTGCCTCCTCAGCCTGCCCTCATTACAGTAATACCCACAGTGGATATTTATTCAGGGCTCATTACACAGCATGTACCGTGCGTGGGTATATTTGTATGTTAAATCATCTCCTGCTCCCATTGCTCTAAGAGGTTCGGAGAAGGATTTGTATTTCACAGCTGCGGCGTCTGCGACACAGAGAAGTTAGGTAATTTCCCTCAGACTGCACAGCCAGTGAGGGGCGAACCGGACCTGCGCTGGGGGCAGCGCGGGAGGCGACTGCGCAGTGCGCGCCCTCCCTCCCGTGCCGCACTTTCCATAGGAGCCCCGAAGAGTGGTGACTCTCTCAGCTTGAAATCTGTTGATTTTGTACTTTATAAATGGCAGGGGGAAAAAGCCTGGGGGGGGGGTGATGTCTACCCTTGATGATTTGTGGATTTTCCTATAGAAGTACAGAGCTGGGAGCCAGAAACCCAGGCCTGCCAACCGTGGCTCTGGGTAAATCTCTTTTTCCTTAGTTTTGTTATCTGCAGTATGTCCAGTGATCTACTCTGACTTCCTGTAAAAATGCTTAGGAGATGTTGTCCCAGCGATGTCAGCTATGGCCTGTTTCTGTTATGCGGCTGCCACGACTGTGGGGTACAACTGAAAACCCAGAAGTAAAAAAAGAAATAACATCACCAGAGTGAGTCAGAATGTTTAAAAAGACAAGCCAGCCCCTCGACATGCCGCCCTGGAATGCCTTCCTTACATGACATCCAGCCACAGTGCGAGCCAGGGTCCTCCACTCTGGATTCAGCTCTGGATTCAACAGGGTCTCAGCCAGGGACCCTGCAGAGCCAGGCGGCTGCTGTTTGTGTGGGCAACCTCTCCGTGGAATAACCTGCTAACGTCCTCTGCTCAGACATGACTTCATGTGCTCGAGCCTGCCAGGGGCTGAGGGCATCGCTCCCCAGAAGCACTCCTGGGGAGATGACCCCTGAGGGGTCTGTCCTTCTGGGAGGCAGCCCCAGACACGGATGGTAACAGGAAGCCAGAGGGGCAGGTTGGAGGAATTTGGAGGGCGCTGGGGGCTCCTCCCAAGAGTTCACCGAGAGCTGGAAGCAGAGACGGTCTAAGAAATACCAGGTCATTCAAGTTTCTCTTGCCACCGGCCCCACCCTGGCCAGGTTCTCTTTTCTCTGTGTTGGCAACTGGTGCACATAGACTGGCCTGCAGGCCTCGGCCTGGGCTCACGGGTCCTCGGGAAGCGGCAGCAGGTGGTGGTCTGTCAACTGCCTCACTGCCTGTCCTCATGGCTGGGTCCACTCAGCCCGTCCCCTGGTGGTGAGGTCATGCCCAGGCCTTTATCCCAAGAAGGGACCTCCTGTCCATCAGC